ATAAAATAGAGCGTTATTCGCATGCGATAGTCTTCTTCTATGGGATTGATTATGTCGGCGAATGATCTTCCGATGAAATGGATGAAAGGGAATTGCATGTGTGCGTGAGCTATTTGGATGAAAGAGAAACAGTTTTAAAAAATAGCTTGTGTATAATATATCGAAAACTTTGCAGAAATATTTATTTAAAAAAATAAAAACTTACTATATAAATAAAATTTCATTTATAATTCACTTAAAATGAATTTATTAATCGTATATATTAATTTGCTATAACTTATTGACACTAAATTAAGTTCTTAATATAATATTTAGATTTTTTATAAACATATGCAAATTAAACGAGAATTAGATATACACATAGATTTGTTATAATTACTTTTCTTATTTTATTTCTTTCATTAGCTTTTTACTTGTAATTTAAATTGTGGGTGTGAAAGAAAGAGAATAATGGAAATTTCTTGTAGTACATTTAATTATTTTCGAGTTGGCTTTTGCTACGAGTGATTATTGCTATTCGAAAGTCGTTGCATTTTTTACGAAAGTGCGCATGTCTACTTTCATGTACGTATTTGTGCATAAAGGACACGTTCACATTATCGTGGAGAATAATATCCTGCCCTGACCATGAGGTACACGAATGCAATTGTACATAGGGTGTGCACGCAGCCGTGATGAACATCAAGAGACATGTATGTGTGTATGTACAGATGCACGAAATATATGTATGTGAGTGAAAGAGACCGCTCTACACACACTGAAGAGTTCCCATAATCAGTACATAATCTGTCTACAATCGTGTACACGGTGACTCGTTTAAAAAAAGACTATATTGTCTCTCCTCAATTTTCTCGAAATTTTTAAAATTTTTATAGTCAAATTTTAGATGAAAATTTTGAGGTTGAATGGTAAAAAATGAATGGTAAAAATGAATGGTAAAAAATGAGAAGTATAATATTTTGTCACTTGATTAAAATTCTAAACGTAATTTTTGTGGGGCAATCCTCAAAGAATCAATCATTTATATAATTACAAAATTATTCGTTTATTTATATTTAAAAATAATCATTTGCATACGTTTTCTTTTTGATGTATATCGAAGTATTTGTCAATATATTGTAAAGATTACCGAATATTTGATCGAAGAATATTAAAATCTTCACAATATATTAATTTCTTATTTCAAAACATTTAATTCAATTTTTGGATTTTATGAGAATCCCTTCAGTTGACCAAACGCGAGCATTTTTCTTTGGTGTCACCGTGTATGCACAGGTACCAAGTGTTGCGCACGTGTGGCACGCACACGCGTGTGACGCCTTGTACACGGCAACGTGAGGACCGAGAGTGGCCTTTCAGTCTGCGCCGAGACCGCGCACGGTATAGATCCTACAATTTTCAAAACGGATACTTCGTTGCCGATCATTGCGGAAAACGGAGTTGCGCGCGGATCATCGCGAGAAAATTTATCTCACGTCGCTGAAGAGATCGTGGGATGATCGACGATCGTGACCGGGGATCGATCGGTGATTCTTCCGCGAGACAAAATGTTGGCTTACATTATCGGCTTTTTCTACTTTTACGCCGAATTACTGCGCCTGGAGCTGCAGATGATGATACACCCGGACGAGTACAAGCTTTCTAAGTTTGTATTGTGAGAAAGTGCACTATACTTGTCGAGTCTTGAGAGAAATGGCATCGGGGAAGGAGGAATTATTTTTTGTGAAGAAAAATTGCGTCAAGATTGGGAAAATTATTCTACATTCTTGAGAATACACAAACTTTTCAAATTTATATTGTGAAAGGGAAAATCATCTGTGAGGGAAATAGTACAAAAATGAAAGAGATAATCCAAAAAAATTGCGTAGATGCGAAGAAGATGTCTGCAGATATAAGCTTTTTTTAAATTTATATTAAATTGAAGAGAAAATGAAATGTGATAAGTGGTCTTTGGAAATATCATAAAAAATGGCAGGGAAAATAATTATTTGCATTTGGAGAGATAGATATTCATCAACCCTTCTTTTATTGAGGAAAGATCATCCAAATATGAACTCGTCACATGAAGGATATTCACTTAGACTTGAATTAGAGTCAACCTTTTAATTTCAAAGATGGTATGGAGAGAAAAATATATAATTATACACATTTAGGCAAAATCATGTCAAGTCTTATTTTGAGGAGAAATTATTTTTAAATTATTCTAAATTCCACAGAATTCCGCGGTCTCTTTGATCATGTGTAAAGGATGTTGTCGAGACAGGAGAGATTGAAATTTTCGATGATAATATCTGCAACGACAAAGCTTTTTCCGCACTTCGTACAACCGACATTAATTTGCATGGAACATTGCGATGCCGGCAAATGTAAATTAATGCAACATTCCCCTTAAACCTCTATTAATGGAGTTGACTTGTTCCGGAATTAAACGTCTTATCGAAATGTCGGATTAAGCTATCTTGGAGATAAGAGCGTATATAATATGGTGACGGTAATAATATGAATTAAATAAACATAAACAATGGCCAATGAAGATTACTATAATTGTATTTAATTTATTTACCTTCTTTCATCGATTGGGACTGATAAACTGTTAAAATGCTAAATATACAATATAAATAATTTTTATAGAAATTTAATTCTGTATAAGACTGTATAAGATTACGTAATTTCATATATCAGATATACCTTGCGATGGTAAGATTTCTTGATATCGGAAAAAAATTTGATGAATACACTCCATACAACTTCGTCTCCAATCGTATTTATTGTGTTACTTTTGAGATAAGATTGGAACGTTTCAGAATTGAAAGAGAGATTCTACGAGTTATATCTCTTTCCAAACTATGTATGTTCATTTTATAAAATATTCCAGGAATTTGTTAAGACATATACAATGTCATATATACAAGTTCCACGTATGAGACTTTATTCCTCAGAGAAAGATATCCGATAGCTATTTCATAAGTTCAGTTTCTGAAGATTTCTCCAATCGACTTGATATCATTGTCGTAAAAAAATCCTGAAGGTAATTCGAAAATCACGCCAAGCAATATCGATATAATTTATCATAATTTCGCACAATGTCGTTGACGAAAGCAAATTAGACAGGTTCACCTGGGTACACCGTACACCGTACTCTTACGTATACGCAAGGTGACTTAAAGTGCAATCGACGAGCGCAACGTCCGGTCGACGCGGCGAAAAAGGCCTCGGTAGAGTTAGACGCATCCGGAGAGATACGAGAAGTGAAAGTGCGTTTCATACAGGATGACGGAAACCCCGTTGCCGGGATAAGCGCAGCCGGCGTCGGTGGTCGACGCGTCAGTGCGTCGCAGCGACGAGCGCCGGACACTCCCCGGTATCATCGCTCCTCGGACGACGATCGAAAATAGCGAACTTGATTGCCGCATTAATTCTCCCGTGAACCCGACCCGATCCGACCTGATCGCGGGCCGTAAAGTTCGTCAAATTTGCTTCAATAATTCATGACATCGCGTGACGGATGCGCGGTGGGAGACGCGTTATGCTCCGGCTTTCTTCAAGGTTATTATTCAAGGTGCGCCGAGACGGAAGAAGGAGGAAGAAGTGTTGACGTTGACGTCACTTTGCGGCTGATCTCATTGTTTTCCGGTCACGTGGATGCTACGGGGAGGATATGGAGACTATATTGAATTGTAATTACGGATTAGTGTTGTGATTGGAAGCGTAATTAAGGCGGTATGAGGTGTGGAACGACGGAATGAGAAATTCATGTAATTTACCTGACAAGAATACATCGCGACATGAGTGTTTTTAAATTGTTTTTCTTTTTGACAGTTTGTAATAAAATAAATAAAATATAGATTTTATTAATAAATAAAATATAGATGATACTAAAATAATAATTAAATAAAATGTATATTTTATTTAATTATTATTTGAACATTCGCGATGATAGGTATTTAAATATAAAAATAAAAATAGACTTAAAAAATTTTAGGAAAAAAGATCTTATTTGTGTAACAACATTTAAAAAAAGATGAGCATTAATACTACAATGTGATACTTATATAAAATCACCAATCGATTCTATTCATTTGTTTTCAATGAGAAATTTAGAGAATAAAATTCTATTGGAAATGTGATTACTTTACTATATGCTTATTTTATGCTTTGTTATAATAAATTATAAAACATCTCATAAACATCGATTTTTTAACGATTATATCTTGATATATTTTTATATAGAATAATAAAGAGAATCGATTCATGTATAAAAAAACATGATTTTATTTTTAAAAAATCTTGAAAGTGTCCTTCAAATCTTGCGAATACTTGGAATATAATCATGCAGACTACAAAATATCTTTTTGGAAACCAATTGCACAACAGTAATTTTAATTAAAAGTAATCTTATCTTTAAAACATTCATTTTATAAAACATTCATTTTAGGATTTATTTAGACAGGTGATAATTTTCAGTAATGCTCTTCCTATATATTTTATCTTTATTTTACTTATTTATATTTATTGTTTATCGTGCATATTTTGTGAGATGCATTTTTTCAAGCGATACATAGGAAAATTATTCATACGTATACATATGATAATACGATAACATTTCATATCATTTTTACTGAGTTAATTTTATTTTCGAATAATAACATGCTTGAGCGACGACCAGTCTGTTTCCATGCACAAGTCACCGCTCGCTCGGCATTGTTTTATTCTCGATAGTGTAACTTATCGTTACCGTTACATTCATCCAAGCCGTGACGCGTCTTTTCGTCAGGCCCAACTCGTTATCTGCGTGTAAATAGAAAGATGTCGTGCCACCTCGTGTAGGGAAGAGATAAGTGTTTCCGGTCGTTAAAGCCTGACGATCGCCGGGTAGCGAAACACTTCTTTTTCTTTTTTTCTTTATTAGAAATGATACTCAAGTGCATTTTCGAGTCGAGTGAGAAAATTAATGATCTTTATCCTTGAGCAAACCCTGAAGAATTTTATCTTCTTCTCAGACTTGAACCTGTGGAACAAGAGCATCAGTCAGCGCTGGCGGAAACTGCGACGAAGATGCTCTGTGCAGGAGTCATCGGAGCCGCAGGAAGCGCTGATACAGGGTGGCGCGAATCACGGTGTCATACACGCGGTGAGGTCGACACCGGCCAGCAGAGAAGCCTCGCCGGCCGCGAAGAGTCTTCAGGATGGGAGTTCGTCGAAGAAACTGTTACAGACTAGTTCCTTGAGGTTGCCAGGTGAATTTGAATATTCTTAATCTTGAAAACAATACTCTTAATTTAATTAAGCCAGATTGATGCAACATATTTCTATCTTCATTGAAATTAATTATTTATTTAAAATACAAAAGCAAAAATTATTAAAATTAAAGTTAAATGCTGAAGAGGCAAATGTACATTTTATATTATTCGCTACTTGATATTCTTACTTGAAAACGAATATTTACAGGCACGACGAAAGGAATCGCCGATATCCAGCATGTACTTCGTAGCAAGTTCAGCAAGATAAACGTTGGCATCAGGAAACGGAAGGCTCTCAGCGTGACGGAGGTGTTTCCACCGCAAAAGGACAACGCCTCAAACTTTTACGTGCCAAGTCCAATCACCTCATCATCATCCAGTCAGACCTTTGAGGAGAATCGATATGACTCGAGCGAACCTACGTCCCTTCCGCCCTATCCCTTTCATGACAATCTGGAGACCCTGACAGAGAGCAGCGTTCCAAATTCACCTCACTGCACTGGTCCACTTACTGGCAACGGCAACGCCTTCACTTACTCCCAGGATAGCTACGAGCAGAAAGATCTCTACGAGAATGTGATGTTCTCGAGGTCCTCGCCGTCATCCTGCTGCCCGAGGACTCGTCCCATTCTTCAACGCAGCAATTCAGAAAACCGCGATGCCAGTGTATACGATCATTCTTACGAGAACGTACGCTTTCAGCGTCAAAGCGGTCATGATTTCTCGGGCAGTCCTTATGCGGGAAGACATCTGGCCAGAAGCAATTCCGAAACTAGAGAGCACTCGTACGAGAATATGCACTTCCAGAAGACCCCTAAGACCAGGAATCAGTCGGAGTCATCGTTCGAGGAGATACATATACCCAGAGTTACACCGAGGAAGAGGTCTACTGACTTCAAGGTTGGTGGACAGGTGAACAATTACATGGGCGAGGCATTGAATATCAATGGTGGTAACAAAGAGGAGGCACCATGCAGTCTGGGTGCTGACAGGAGTCCTGGGAAGAGGAATCCGAGAAGACTCAATAGCAGAAGCGTCGCGAATATTCCTAGCTCTTCAGGCACGAACTTGAAGACTTGGCAAGTGAGTACATCTTAACAATTTTTTTTTAAACTTAATTTAGCATATATTTTAAAAGTAGTAAATGTAGAGAGAGAAAACTAGACAACTCGATGTATAAAAAATTGACAAATTAAGATATGCATATAAACATTCATTTGAAATTCTTTTTTCTAATGTTTTTGTTTCGATTAAAGACCACTTATCAATTTTATTCCAGGGTACTCAAGACGCAGATGAAGGCCTGAATACGGACTCGGAACTCGAAGACATTGATGAGGCTGCTGAAGGCGAGGAATCACGTTTCTGTACCTTGCCGAGACCCGGCAAGAGTGGCGCGTCCTTTACGATATTGACCGCTAGATTTCTCAAGGGTCCCGGGCACAAGGTACTCGGCTTCAGTATCGTCGGTGGAACTGACAGTCCTCGTGGAAATATGGGGATCTATGTGAAAACCGTTTTTCCCAATGGTCAAGCTGCCGATTTAGGTGTTGTTAAGGAAGGTAAATTCATGTTCAATAAATTAAACTTATTTCTTATTTCTTTCTTGATTTTAATAAATCAAAATAAGAATATTTTTATGAGATGATTTTTTACAATAACACTTTTCTCTTTTTTCTTCAATTATATATTTCAATTATATATTTGGTTTAATTTATGTATTTGAAATGTTTTTATTTGAGTTTATTTTTAATAAAAAGCGTTACATAAAACTTTAATTTTCTGAAAATTCAATTTATAAATTATAATAATTTTCCAATAAAATTGATTTATTTTCAAATCATCATATTTAAAGAATCATGCTCTTTGACAATCTTTAAAGATTCTTGAATCATAATTCTATTGTTTTATAACATTTTATACTATATTAGCACGTTTTTAAACGCGATATTTAAAATTTTCTATGTTTATAGGGGACGAAATTTTATCGATAAATTCGAAACCTCTTCACGGTATGACCCATGCCGAGGCTATTGCTGAATTTAAGTCCGTGAAGGCTGGGGACGTTGTCCTGCACGTAGGACGTCGCGTGAATAAGAAGAAGAGAGAATCCTTGACTCTTGCTCCGGTTAATCCTTCCGCTCCGAGACAACCTGTCAAGTGAATTCGCATAAAAATCACAACGACGTACAATTTTCCTCTGCCGTATTTTCGTATACTTAATCTCTTTTATATTTCACAAATATTCATAATATAGCAATATCGATAATTATTGCTGGCAATAATACACGATAAAGATTTATCATAAGTCATCATTTCATTTTCTTGACTCTTATTTTGTGAGACAAAAATATGTTCATTTAAAATTTTTTCATTTTAAATTATAATTTTATATTTATTTATAGTTTTATTTTTTTCACATAGAATTAAATTTTTCTTACTGAACAAGATTGCAAAATTTGACGCATTAAGAAAAAATGAAAGTTGAGAAAGTGCAGTTGAAAAAAGTGGATTTATATTTGTCTCACATCTTCGGGATTAAGATTTTGAAGGCGAGATGATAAAATTACCAACTCATTTTTGCATCTATGATAAGTTTCAACGAAATTATCAAGAGATATTCGTATATATTCAAAACAAGGAAACTTGCCAGGACAACGAAAAGCGCTTACGATCACGAAACAAGACATTATCAAGAGACTTCCGTTTCACTATATCGATATAAGAATGATAAAAAACTGATGATCGCTCATAAAGAAAGCGAGTTGAAAATAAGCAATGTGACCTCACATAATCAAACGGTGAAGTGGATGCTGTCAAATCAAAAAGCATTTTATCGTACAACGTGACCGATATCTATTCGGTTACCTTCCATATATATATATCAAATATTAATATTTATCGATAACTCATAATCATCGTCTAATACTATCTAAAATTACTAGACATATTTTGATGTAACGAAGAATCGTTCAAGCTTTCGACTCGCGCGCAAGATCGCGTTTTCTCATGCGTTTATTCATACCGATATACACGAATAGAAAATAGATAAATCGAACGAATAAATCGAGAAGAATTTTTACGAAATATTATACCTATCGAATATATTATGCAACGAAGTCCTCCAATTAGTGTGATTAATAGACGATTTATTTTTGTAAAACGAAAAAGGTAATCTGCGATTTTTGTACGATTATTAATGATGAATGAAACGACATTTATTAATTGATATATGTGTAAAACAACAAAATGAACGAAATTGATCGAGATATTAGTTTTATGAGACGAGAATTATTTCTAATGACCTGATCGAGAGTTATACGTGTATGCCTGATTCGCGAAAGCTTAACTTTATAAAGGAGAAAAATGTGCAGAGATGTTCAAAAAGGGGATAATCAAATCTTTTGTCAAATTCTTTATTAAATTTCTTATTAAATAATTCAAAGTAACAATAATGAGTTGATTTTTTCGTATTCTTCATTACTATACAAATGCTTGCAAAATTTGATTAAAGATAAAAGAAGAGAGATATTCTTTGTTGATCATTTTTTTATATTAACTACATTTTATTTCTTTATACGAGCTCTTGCAATTAGACATACGATATTCAGGAATGTTTGCAGAGTTAAGGAAGATTTAATTTCTAACTGTAGACTAACGAAGACGCCCAAAGATGAAGCCCAAAAAATATTTTTACTACAAAGACGAAAAACACATATATAGAGAAAAGCGGCATATCTATATATTATATATATTATACATATACATATATATTTTCATTGAAACACGCGTTTACTTTAAATGGAAGCAACATTATTAGCATCTAGTCGATTTGTAATATTTTCTTTTGAAGACTTTTTTATGATTGCGATGACGAAAAAAAAACGCAAAAAAGTAGTTTTTATATATAAATATATACGGTGATATACACAGATATATTTCTTATATCGATTTTTCAAGATAACGAATTGTATAATCAATTAATAATAATGATTACTATTTAGAAGTGCTGCTAATCCGATGATGCTACATAGCGAATGTAAGGTATGCTCTGCAGAATAAATGAGAACATTTAATTTCGGAAATATCTCTTCCACTTATTAATAAGTATAAGAGTTTTAATGAGAGAGTAAATACTTATAATATAGAAGATTTTGCTTCTGATTCTTGTTAAAAGATAAGATTAAATTTTCTGAAATGGCGTTTGTCAGAAATTCGACATTCTACTATAAATAATTTGTATATACTTATTTTGTTTTAAGGATGATGCACATTAACACACAATAATATCCTAATTTTTGATATCAGTCAAATAAAATGTTTTCGAGATATAAGAAAGTATATATACTTTTTATATAAAAAGATCATTTCTACAAAAATTAGCTAATAAAGAAATTATTTCATTATCTTTATTTATTTTCTTCTTATATTTGATGATTATTTTAAAAAAGTTTCTAAAGAATAATTTAATCTGAATTAATCTGTATAATATGTGACTTAATTATTATTTTGTACTTTTCAGTATGTTCGATATTGTTTTGTAACACATGAAACGAAGTTAGTTTAATTAGGTAGATTAGTTTTTCTTATTGACGATTTTAAATGAGATAATAAGGAATTAACAAAAATTAAATATATAATAACATTTAAAAAAATTGCACATATATGGTTTTTCAAATATTTTCTCATCTGATAAAATGAGCGATTTTCTAAAGTATGTAGATTGAATTAAATTAACATAGTATCCGATTTAATTCGTTAAATTTTGTTTTATAGAAAGATCTCTTTAGTCTTTTTAGAAAACAGACTAATTTTAAAAATTTTGTTAATTATTGGCTAATTATTGTCAAATTTATTGTTTTAAAGAACTTGCTTTTTTATAAATATTGTAAAAAAATTTTATCTGATTGCGATATCATAAACTAGGATTATTATATTATATATATACAAAATTAGAATTAATGATAGTGTCGAAATCATGTATGACAAGTTGGTGACAATTTTTATATGAAAAGTTTCGTTTATACATTTAAATCATTTTTATTGTTAGACATAAGAAATAACTCATATGTATACAATTCCAAGAACAATGCAGCTATTCTTCGTCTTCCAAACTTCTTAATATCGTCTTTTCTAAAATTGATTTTTTTCGGACCGTATGATCGTCGTTATATTAATTTAAGTCATGTGAGCATTTTATAAAACTATATAATTTAATTATTTACAAAAAGATGATATAAAATACAGATAAATTATTTTTACAGTTTTTTGGTTACATTAATATTTAATATTTAAAAAAATAAATTTTGAATAATTATTATATTAATTCTCTAATAAAATTACTTATAAAGAATGAGTTTTGGAAGAAACATTTTCTTTGAAAGATACTTTCGGTTTATTTATATTTATTTTATTATGAAAAATACTTTTCGAAGAAACAAGTTCTCAAGCGTCTTTTATTCCTATGTTTATTTTAAAAATAAAGATATACACATTATTGTTTATTTATGGTGTTAAAAATAATTTTGCGAAAAAGGATTAAATAAACAAGGAAATTCCTCGTCAATCAATTTTATTCAACACTTAAACTACATAAATAGTGTGCGAAAATATATAATTTACTCTAGTATCGAATTGAAAGAGAATTCGGACATAAAAATTACGTACGCTTTCGAAATATAATGAAGGAACCACATTAGCTTCTTATCTCACGTTCTGTATATTTTATAGTATTAATTAGAAAACGCTACATGCGAAATAACGGGAGAGTGAGATTATATCGTGATGCAATCGATTGCGTTGGCACACGCACATGTAATTATTCTTTTTTCTCTGAAGTCTCTGTATATATCGTTTTTGAATATAAACGACTTGTACGGTCTGCAGCAAATGAGTACAAGTGCAATTATAATTTTTGCATGTATGTACACTGGCGGCACAAAAATTTCCATACTCTTGGTATGCGCGAAAAAAAACGAAGAAATAAATAATATAATGCATACAAACACTTGTGTTGCTTATATTTATTGAACGACACTTTTATTGAAATTCTAAATGTCGTCGTGTGATTTTTATTATTCCTCTCTAGTTTTAAGATAAATAAATCGCAAGTTAACGCAATTCTGGTCAGCTATTTTTTACTAAAACCGGATTGAACATATGTTTAATCGAGAATTTGTGTATAATTATCGAAGGTTGATATCGTCCCGAGAGCAAGGACGATTTTCAAGTGAAATCGGGAACAAACGTGATCACAAACACGGGAGATCATACTGACGAAGCTGGGCAAATATAAATAAAAGTAGTTTTTGTGAAATCAAAACGCATGTGCGATATATCGGAGTAACGCTCATCAATGTATTAGTTCATAGTTGAAGAAAAAGATTAGTACATATGGGATAAAATAATATTGCAAAAACAAACTACGCATCAAAGTGAAAAAGAATCGCAAAACAATTGCATAACTTAAAGTTGGTGAATTATTTTCCCATCAATAATAATAATCTTACGTGTAGTCTGATGATAAAAAGAACGGAATTTTATTTCTTTACTTTTATCAATCATAAATATCAATTATAAATATCAATCAAATAACGATATTATTCTTTCAAGAGGTCTATAGATGCTTTTATCAGTTTAATTGTTTCTGATTACAATCCTTTCTATATTTCCGCAGATTAACATTCTACCGCTATTATATTAGAGTTACAAAATATTATCACGATCATAATCCTGAAGATTGAATTATCGGTGGCTACCTGTAGCCTTTGACGAGCAACAGCGATGATCTTCTCCTCGTCAGCCCAGCTCCGCGTGCAAGTACGTACAAGTATAATCTATGTGCGGCATCCTAAAGCTCTAAAGAAGGCGTCATGGGCGATTAGTTTCCCGCGACGACCGAGTTCAACACGTCAGATTTCATTGACGTGCTGATGAATATTGTACGCCCTTCCTCCTCTCCTCGACTCCTTCGGTACCACGACCCGATGCTGCGGTGCAACAACCTCCGCTTCGAGTTTCCTCTTGGCCTCCTCGGTCGCGTTTCTTTCGGTCAACAAGTCGGTCGGTTTGGAATAGACGAAGGTGGTCTCCATACCGTTGGACTGTCCGATGGTAGCCGAGCCCTTCAGAATGTTATCCTGGGCACTCAACAGCTGTTTGAACCGTTCGTCGCTCTTCTCGTTCTGAATGTCCACCATATTACGGGCCGATCTCGAAGAATCGGCTCGTTGTTGATGACCTTGTTGCGAGAGTCCATTCTCCTTGTTCGTCAGATTCAGTTTCGGATTGAGATTGAGACCCAGCCATTGAGTAAACAGCGCGATACCATGCTCGGCGCTGGCCGACACTGCGGCGATTAGCTCATCGGTATTCAAGCCGTCGTCCTCATCGTCTGTAGTGTCGGGTACGGATTCCGTCGTCTCCGTGATGCTACGCGGGATTTGTTAGAAGAGAAAGAAAAGAAATTTTTGCTGAGATTAATCGTGAGTCATATATTCGCGTTCGCACTTCCGAATGTTATAGAAGTACTTTTACTTACGCGGGCATTTCTATCTGCCGAACACCGTGATAAAAATTGAAGCATCCCATATGATATGTGGCTAGCTCCCTGTCCAATAGAACCGGCTCGATCGCTATGCAACCGTCGTAGCCACCGATTTCAGCTTGCTTCATCGACGTAAATCTCGCGCAGATTTGCGCCACGTCTAACAAGAGGTTCATGCATGTCGGTTTATTGGCTGCGTTCGCTGCAAAAGTGCGGACATTGAAGATTGAAAACTTAATTATCGATAGAAAGTGAAAAATATAAAGATCGAAAAGAAAGATACATCATTTCAATTTGACTTCAATTTTCAAATTAACGAGTATAATTTGTGGATTGATAACTCGAAGTTGCATTTGAATAAAATTGGACATTCAATCTAAACATAGAAGAACATTATTATTGTAATTATTGTTATGATATTTTTGACTACTTGCCGATTTTTATCGTCGCATTGTGAACGGGATTATCGCGATAGGTCAAGTTTAGAGTCACATTCTGCTCCTTCTGTCTGAGATTGATGCAAACCGGGCCACCTATATCGATCGCGGCTGTCAGATTCAGGTCGACGCAGCAGAGACAACCGGAAGTCTGGCACAGGCACTTGGGCTGCGACGTAGTCGATCTCGCTTCGATCTCCGGCAGGTCCCACGAGAGCAGGGTCTCTGCGGGCAGAAGACACGTGGCGGGTGCATGTGGTACGAGAGATAAGAAACGCCGCGCGCGGCCAGAGAAACTCGATGCAGAGAAATCGGAACGAAACGAAAGTCGCCGTCGATCGAAAGTCAAATGGAAGCCGAATTTCTACGCGCGTTTCACTGCGCCGTAAAAGTTTGCTTTGGAATCTCTCTTTTTCTTTCTCTTTCTCTGTCTTTCTCTCTCTTAGCGATTGATTGAAGAATCAGGCTGCGACAGCACTTATGCTCACAATAGATATGGGAAACTACATATTGACTGTTAAGCGTGTCAATGGGAATTTCTATTGGTAGACTTTCTCGTCGGATGGAGGCATTGAATGATAATTTTGAGGATAGTTCTTGTTACATTTTTTTGAGAATAAAAATAAAATAATAAAATAAAGATAAAGAAGATTTAATGAGTGAAAATAAAATTAAAAAGAGATCTATTTTTATAATTATTATATATGTCGTAAATTTTTATTAGAATAAATTTATACGAAAAATAATTTAGTTATTTATATTATAAAACGTTATTTATATTATAAATTATAAATATAAATTAATTTAAAATTATACATATTTTTTAAACAAGATTCTTTTTACGTAATTATAAATTGACAATCAATATTTAAGATTATTAGAGATTGTAAGTATTGTGCAAAATAGATTTCTTTATAAAATTATGTCAACGAGCTTATGTTCTGACAACAGGAAAATGTAAAATAAAACTATATTTATCTTACAAATCACGCGATCTACAATATATATCTACGACACGCAAGATAAATCGAACGATTTTTTATTTTCTACAAGAATAAAAAAGAACTGATTTTTGTAATTATCATATAATCGACCTCAAAATGTGCGTAATCGCGCCGATCAGAAAGCAAAGAACACGTGCACCCAGACGTTGAAATCTCCGACGTCGACATTTCTACGCGAGTCTGAATTCTCGTACCAGCGTATTTAATCAAATTTCGTTCACAGTCCCAGCTCACCGAGCAATCCAGCGGACGCGACGACCACCAGCGTGATCATCAGCACCAAGATCGTAGCTCTCGTAGCCATGATGTTCTTCAAAATGACGTTTGTTCAAATCAAAACAGGCCGAGAGATCGGCAGTCCCTCGAGCAGCAAGATCTCGGATGATCAAGATCGCGACGGATACTTTCGCGCGGCCGGACGGATTCACTGACGCGCGCAACGGATGAGAAGGATCTTCGGAGATCCTGTCCGGCAAAGAAGAAGCTTAAATCTGGACACGGCGCCGGTCCCGCGGATGTCGGATCGCCGACCGGTTCGGCGGTCGGCATGAAAACAAGGGACAGGATTGGTCGGGTACGTCGAGACGGTGGGGCACCCTGGGACTGGGCATCGTCGACGCGACGCGATGCGACGCGACGAGGGGGCAAGGAACCTCATCTGGGTGACCGGGTGACCTCCTTCTTCTCCATCAGCTTGGTACCAGTGCGATGGGGACTCGGTTAATGGCGCCGCGCCTCTCCACGACGTAGGGCTAGAAATGAGTGGACAAAGGACACTAGGCTACTCTTTGCGAATTGTTATCCCTAATTTTTTCCTGAAGAAAGATCATCTTGGTTCACAAGTCTTTCTATAAGATTGCCCGAAAGCTTTTAAATAGATTCGTAATATTTATGAAATTTTGTCGAAAGGGGGAGAAGTAGAAATGTAGAGCTTCTCTTTGGAAATTTCTTCCAGGCATTGTCATCTCGAGCCATCTTCACGCTCTCGCCCATGATTCTTTACCGTGAAGGTGAGCGTTCATTAAAGTGTCGCTGTCACAAATTTTCTGTGACAAGATCGGAATAAGATGTGGAGGGAAAAATATTTTCAGTTCTTGAATAACCGTGTCAAGTTCGGCGAGGAACTTTTGTAAGATTAAATGTTCCACTTTCGAATTTAATTATCGACATTACCGACTTCTTGCTCCTCTCTAAGTTTCTATACGCATTACTGCGCAAAATTTCCATAAACGCATAGGAACACTTTCCAGGCTCAAAAAAGCTCTTCGCGCGTGAACGTTTTCTAATTTAATAACACGCCGCCGGGGATTTTTCTTCTTTTTTTTCCGCCGTCTCTCCTCTCGGTTTTCACCGTTTGAAAAAGAATCGCGATCGGCCATCTATTGATTTGCTGTAAAATCACTTACGATTCCGGTCCATTGATTACACTGCTTTCTTTTTTTCTCGAATGAATACGATTCGCACGTGACTCCGAGATGAAAAACGGAGCAAAGTGTGTTCTGATGTGACTATTAAAAAAAGAACTAAATAAAAGGATATTTTCTTTAAAAGAGAAAACATCTTTAATAAATTTCGATTCATTATAACGCGAAAATACACCCTGTCTATTTAGAAATAAAGGCATTTTTGTATGTCAGATATCGATTTGAAGAAAATAAAGACAGATGTGTGCTGTTCAGTTTTATAATTATTAAAATAAATCAATATTAAATTATTGTTTGACGAAATTGAAAAAAGATTAAAATTTCTATTTTCAATTTAAAAAAATATAGTGCAAAAAGACCGCGATTTCTCCAAAGTTATGTAATTATATCGAAGGAAGCAATCTTCCCGAAGCGACTAAATATTTACTCTGTTGTCAATCATCGCCGAGAAATGACCATTGGTTAGATACTATAATTGCGTAAATAATCTCTTCGCGTCACGAGACTTTAATATCACGAACACGCGATTTACTCCGCCTTAATCGTCATGTAAATCTAATCGCGCTGGCAAGCGCGATTGCACATCGGAATCACTTCTTCACGTTTTTTCTTTTCCTATACAATTATGGAAGGAAATCGAAGGCACGCCGCGATCGACAATTATCGACAATTATTCCAGATTACGTAAAAACTCGTTGGTCCCTCGCATGCCGATCGAATGACCTACACATCATTTGCTGATATTTTTAGGAAAGATCGAATCGTTATTCTCGAGACAGGGAAGTAATAGAGTCTATTTTGTTGATGTTTAATGCGATTCAATTTAATCGAAGAAAACTATGCATTTGAAACGTCACAAAAATGTTTTCAAAATAAAAGTTTTTTGATTTTTATTCTGAGAAACGCTATTTGCTTTTAATTAGACATTTAATTAGAAGCTCTAATACTAATAGCGGTAGACGCCAGGCCATCGCTATCGATGGGCCAAGCGTCAAATAAACAAATATTAACCAAGGTAAACCACCATTCTTACTACTTTCTTCGACCCACTAACCGGAGAAAGGCCCCTCCTTAACCGCCAAAACACGATTCACGTGGATCGCTTCGAGAATTCCACGAGAGGCAAACGAACGAACAAGAGGCAGCATTAATTTCGCGTTGCACTCGTGTCGTTCTTTACGCGCGTTCTGGATATTTTTCCTCTTTCTTCTCTCAGACGAGACGAAACTTCCACGAAGGAGACTGAACGTGCATGAAAGTGGGTCTTCGGTTAGAATTTGTGTCGCGAACTCGTCGCGTCTTGCATGAGTTTATGGCTGCGTCGCCAATTGATTGTATCATTACGTAAAAATTAGAAAATATAATACTTTGAAGAATTGAATTATAAATTTGATCGATGATACATATATATGTATAATACTAATTGCATTTGTTTCCATTATTTCAATTTTCTTTTTTACGACTTTTACTTTTTAATTAGATTATATCTATTTTTTTATACATATTATATTATTTTATTTTATTTCATTCTACCATCTTTTATTTTATTTTATTTTGTTATTCGATTATATCCTATTTATTTTATTATAATCATAATAAAATTTAGTATGTCTTTTAAAGATACTATATTAAAGAAGAAAGAGAGAGAGAGAGAGAGAAAGAAAGAGAAGAATTTAAAGAAGACTGATTAGACAATGTGAATTATAACTTCTTTATTTGTTCATCTACAAAATTATTCCAATTAATTCAATATTATAAAAAATATAAAAAAGATTTAAATAGTTAATAGCAATTCCTCGAAATCTACCTGTATAATAATATAGATGTCAAAGTAATCGGCACGTACGATACGAATAAAGAATGAATGTCACTTGCGTCGATTGTCGATGCATCGTAAGTTATGCATATAGAAAATTAGAACGATATAGAAAATAGCAAGAATTAGGTCTCACTGCAAGGTGTATAAATAATTCAAAGTTATAGTGCACTTAATAATATCCGACTGAGAATCGTGGCATATGTAACGATGAAACTTTATAATTAATATTTTAGATAGTAATATTTTAAAGAATTTTCCATTCCAGAAATCTAATGTTGGAAAATAGAGAGACAATTAATAATGATCATTTTCTGGACTTAGACCATTCTAGACTTTCGCTGTAGAATGGTATCTTTAAAAAATACGTAAATATTCTTTTCACGTATTTATCTTTCAGGAATATTTCCCCGGGACATCCTATGTATTATTTATATCCTTTTACTACAATAATTCATTTGAACGACTTTATGTAAATAAGTGTACCGCAAGGATTGTCGCAAAGGCTGTTGTCGCTTTTTCTGATGGAATCCGGAAGTCCAACTGGCATGACTCCCTCCCTCCCTTCCACTCCCCGGATCCTCACGGATATTTTCGTACGAGTTGAATCATTCGGGAACATCTTCATTCATCCATACGCATCATGAGCCTCCGGTACCGGTTTATAGAGAGATGGAAAGGCGCTTTCGTCGTTGGAACGACGATGACACCGGTCGCTGTCGTCGTTCAACGAGGTGCGACGAAAATTCGGAAGCGAACGATTGGTGCGAGAGAACCGTCTCTCATTTACCTAGAACGCATTAGAATGTTTAATAATCCTAGCAGCGATCTGTGAGACGGCAGGTGGTGGTCGGTCTGACCGACTTTTAAAGAGACCTTGGGGGGAGTTGGGCGGCATCTTCAGTTGGACATTGGCCTCCGTAAGACGAAGAGTCAGGGAAAAAGAGCCGCAGGGTGCAGGAGAGCACGAGCACGGCCGCCTCCTTGGATTTCTTCTCAACAACCAGGTGGATAGACTCACGTATATACAATCCGTCTGTTCGAAGGTTGGAAAAGGTAATAAAAGAAGACTTGTCTAGACACGGTAATTCTTTAAATCCAATATTCTTGATCTCTTGATCTTCTTTAAATAATCTCCTCTCGATAACATTTATAATTTTCATTTCTGTTTGCATTTAATAGAATTAAATTACTATCTTTAATTCCTTAAGGAGAGAGTTGATAGAATGTGAAACGGGATCAATGTTTACATTTCCGGGAAGGTATCTTTTTCGTTTATTATATAAAATTTTATTTAATATTTCAAACATTATCAGGCAAGTAAGTTAGAAGTAAAGAATTAAAGAGAGAATAAGTAGAGAAAATAATATATCAGAAAAGAAAAAGAAAAAAAGAAGCTTAACTTAAATAGTAAAAATCTGAATCTTTGCAAACGCAATTATATTACACAGTTATATTATCTATTTACGTATTAATAATCTATTACTCTTGTCCTAGTAAAATCTAACAAGTCCAGATTGATACACAAAGTTCCAAAAATCATTCTGCAGATCGCACTAGTACTTCTTTTTATAATCGTTTTCTGGACAAGATGCGAAGAGAATCGATCGATCGACTTTATTGGCGACATGATAAAATGTAACATCGATCGTATCCAGCCCCTTGACCATATAACGCGTTCTATAACGGTGACACGAATGTGTTTCTCCCGCGTGTTTCCTCGATAGTATCACTAAAGTCCGCCATCAAGTCTCAAGTAGCGCCTCTCTGACGCACGTCTTTGACCGTGACCGGGATTTAGGTCAACCGGTCGCGGACATGCGAAAGGAACTTGCGTTTGAAACCGGAAGAAAAATTTATTCCCTGTCTGGAATAATTTAATAATTTTTCTAATCATTAAAAAAAGTGAAAATCTTGACAGAATCAAAGGATAGAAAGATCCGAAATTATCGGTCTATCTCGACGATTAACGAGCGGAACGAGTGTCTCTATTGTTCGCTGACAATAACTACGAGATAATTATTAAAAGATGAGAGGGAAGAGAAAAAGAGGGAAAGAGAAGAAGGAAAGAAATACACGTTCAATGAACTTTTTCAATGTGCGCTTTGCGTGACAAATTAAACGCGTTCTGCGTAAAATTGAAATGTGATGATCTCAAAAGTCGCTCAATCGATGAAACGTTTCCGTGAAAATTCTCTAGAATTTTAATATAAAATATATACTCAAGAGATTTTACAAACATTATATTTCAAAAAAATAAATTTCCGAAATTTTCGTTAAGCTGATTAAGCGGCTTTTAAGAGACATCTTATTTTCTAGTTATCACGATCAAGTTTTTCACTTTTTTTATTAATTAATTATGATAAAATTTGCAGTTGTTAAAATATTAGTTAAATTATTATTACAGTTGTATTTATTAAAAGCTGTAGTCCTTAAAAGTTACATTAAATTGCGTAATGAAATACATGTGAATAAATAAATTAATTGCAATAAAATTTGCGATAAAATTTATTGTGGTTCAGAATAACTTGCTCAATGTCTGCGTCAGCACGCGCGTGAAAAATTCTTGTATTTTCACGATTTTTTAAATCATAGTTTTTATCGAAATCAGTCGAAAGATTGAAACGTGTCGTCACATACAAAACGGATCTTTTCACTGAGTAATATGGCGATCGCATTCCATGATTTTGTCATTGTTTGCAGAACAGGCGACAGGATGCGATTGTCGACGATTTTCGAGTTATTGCTGATCCTCTTGCTGGTGGCATTTGCAGCTTATGGTCGAGTAATTGGTAATAAGAATAAATTTTTAAGAGTAGAATAAGAATGGTGAAGGAGAATAAAAAAATAAACTTAATTAAAAAATTAAAAAAGAGGATACATATATAAATTTTAGATTGTACAAAAAATATAGGCAAAATGGTTACATTTTGTTTTTCTGGAAAGAAAAACTTTAATTATGTGAAATAAAAAATACAATTTTCTGTGTTAATCGCAATATTTTGAAAAAAGAAATCATAAAACCCTTTCTTATAAAATTATAACAACATTTTCAGATCACGATGAGATACATCGAGCAGCTCGCACCGCGGATAACGTGAAGTATAGTGATATGAGTCTATCGACGATGTCGTTGAAACAGGCGGCCGATAGCGTAAACCGATACTGTACCTGTAATGAGAACATCTGCAATTGCTGTCGGGACTTTCACATACCGGTTGTGCAGCTAAAAGGACCAGGTAATTATCGTGCAACGCAATTGTATTGAAAAATGAGAGTGCAGCGAAAACGTGTCATAAATGTCTATCCATTGTATTCACATTACATGTATTATTATATCAAATAATTCTTTCTAGATTCTTGTTTGTAATAAAATATATATTATATTATTTTTTCTTATGATAAAAGAATCTTTTTGCATTTGAAATTCGTAGGATGTGCCTCGCTGCAATATCTACAAGGTGACAATTTGGCAGTACAGCTGAGTTTTGGCGACAACATATTAACCAGCACGATCGTTAACGGTAAATATTGGTATTCGGTAACGGTAACGATTAACAGTTGTCGTCCCGCTATTTTCTCTAATTGTATTTCGTAAAACCAATATTTTGCCAGGAATTATTTATTACAGATTATATTTCAATGAATGATACGACCGATATTTTCTTTATAATTTACATAATATTATTAATATAAAAAATATGCATCTAACTAGCGGAAAAAGTGTTAACTGTGCATTCAAAAAAATTAGTGTAATGTAAAAAAAAATATAATCCGACTTTTACCCAATATATATATTTATATAACTCTTAATGCAAGCCAAATAATATAAGATAATGACGAATAAAATATGTATATTGAGTTTAAATTTGTTGTATTGGGCAAATTTCACATTCCAGTGCCGTGAAATGGCACATTTATATTTCTCCGGAGTTTATAAAAAATAGATTATATAGTTCCTTTGAAATGTGTGAAGATATGTGTAGATGTTATTCGGCAAATTTGTGTTAGTCTGGAGACAAAGTGAAAGTATTTGTTTAGATAATTTCGATGTCAATATCGAGTGCGTTTTTTTCCATTTCGATCAACGAATTTATTTAAACTAGACAAGTTATTTTAAATATTTTCAATATATAAATCATATATTTAAGATGCTTTTAATAATACATTTTCAAATTAGATGCATTTTATTTTATTTATTATAGAGATATTATATTTATTATATATACACATATCTCTCTCTTAATAATTTCTTTAAATAAAAATTAAAGGAAGAGAAAGAGTTTGATATATATCTATCGAGAAAATATTATAAATTCCAGGAAAGAATCCGAAGCCTGTATGTGTCCCTTTACCGGGTGGTTTTACCAAATTCTGCGGCAGAATTTATTCTATCCAACGCGATGCGAAGAATCACTTCAAAGCTTGCCTTGGTCTAGAATTGCAATCATCTACCGAACTGGAAGCTAGTCTTCGCGTCAGTTGCTTCAGGTATTTAATGATTAAAATATCACTTGGATTTTTATTTTATTTTAATTCATAACATGTATGATACGAGAGAGAGAATTTACACTCAAGAAAAATAAAAATTTAATCTGTAAATTATATTTATTAAGGCATTTTTTATTATTAAAAATATCGTTATGTTACCTTAAATTTTAGGTTTGGTCCAGAAGGTTTGAAGCTTCGACCGGCCGAGCCACTTCCGGTTGTCGAGGCGGAATCTGTCGAAGAAGAAGATGATGATGATTTCTTTGGACTTGGCTCCGATGACGACGATGACGATGACGAAGAGGACGAAAGACCTTCTTTCAATTCTGTCCCGGATGCTTCAGGAGGCAGCAACACGCAAGAGTCAGATGACGACGACGATGACGACGATATCTTAGGTTTTAGTGCTCTACTGGATATTTTCACTGGCGAGGATGACACTGCCACGAAGAAACCTAAAATTACCACTGTGGCGCCATTATTAGAATTTACTATTCCTATTTTATCGAGGCCAACGACACCGATATCGCTGGAGAATCATGAACTGTCAACTTTCCCCACCGAATTGGAAAATAACGAGGAACACGAAAACGACACTGAGGAACCCGTTAAAGTGATAGACGAGGGATTGACTGAGAGCAATACCGAAAACAACATTGATGAGAATCAGGAACAAATCACGGAGGCTTCTAATAAAATTACGTATCTCGTGAAGCCTAACAAGGCGACCATTAATAAAGTGAAGAAGGGAGTTGTTGGAGAGAAAAAACCTAGTGTGACGTCCACTAGTGTCAATGCCATCCATAATCCTGAGAAACCAGTAAAGAAGCCCATCAAAGACGAATACGACGAAGATGTTAATGAAGACGATATTTTAGACGATGACGACGATGATGTACTCGACGATGACGATGAGGATGAAGTACTCGATGACGATGACGAAGATAAGAATGATGAAGATGGAGATAATGAAGATAAATTAGATGATGAAAAACATACAGAGGATGAGGACGATGATGATGACGATGACGATGATGAGAAAGCTGAGGATCTTGCTGAATTGGACGATGACGATGACGAGGAGGAAGACGCTATGCTGAGTGCTCTTATGGAGACCGGCAAAAGTAAGAAAAATAAAGGTAATCAGACAAACACCAATGAACATGACAATGAGGATTATGATGCTGAATTGGACTTTTTGACTAGAAAGCATTCCGGAGGAAATCGTCAAAGCAAACTCACAAGGTTTTAAAAAGTAATAGAGCTTTAGTCAATAGGCTAATTGAAAGTCGGGAAAAGTTCTTATTTAATCATAAATTCGCTGTTCCGATAAGACTTGAGGCATTTTATCGGATCAGCAGAATGTTTATAAAAAAATCATCGGTGGATTAATATAATTGTGATATAACTATTAGACCCATTTTTAAATGATAAAATTATAAAAGTCTTTACATTTTTCTATATCTTGTTTTCTAACAAAATATAAAAATAATAATAATATTCTAATTATTATTTGATAATATTATATAAAAGAGATAATTTTGTAATATAAATTAATTTTATTGTTGAAAAATAACGGTTTACTTCATTATCACAATTATCTTTTTATATAGTTAATTTTGTATTTATTAAATTATATGGAGACTGATACAGAAAGATTCGACAGAACAAAGATGGAAGAGCTCTCTCGAAAGAAAGCTCAAATAAAATCGAATGAGATTCTTTAGCATACAAGCTGTTAAAAAGGTTTCAATACAAGAATCTGAAAAAGTTTATGAGGAAGACTTATGTATGATTGTTTGTGACCTCAGCCATAATAATTTGCTCGATTAGCTTAATGATATTTATTAAGAACAAAAAAAATATTTATGATTTATTTATATATATATTTAAGTTATTTATTGATATTGTAATTATTGTAATTAAATAAATTAAAAAAATATATAATTTGTGCTATCATGCATTTCTTATCAATTTTGTGGTTTTTGTTTTTTATCATAAATTATTTTTTTGTCACAACTAAATTATAGATGTATTATAACTAAATTATTATTAAAGAATTATTACATAAGAATATTACAAAAAAATACTTTAAATAATTTATTTTTATCAATTTTTAAAAAGAGATTTGTAAAATTCAATATCTAACATAAAAATTTATAACTTTTTGAAAAATATTTCTGAAGAAAAATTTCTTTGTGGATTTTTTATTTAAACTTTAATTATTATAAAAAAATTCTTTATAAATTCTGATTAAAAAAGTTTATCTACTTGCAAAAAACTGAACCGTGTTATTTTAGTATCGCATGAGATTTCTGCGATGTACATGATTTTTGTGAAAAAATAGTTTCCAAATGCATTTTATTTTGTTAAAAATAGAAGCTAGTAATTTAAGCTTAGTAATTTAAAATATAATTTAACTTATTCATATCCTCATTTTATGTGTAAGAGAAAAATTTATCAGAAATCTTTATTTCTTAACAAACGCTATGTATTTTCTATTTTGATAGATCATTGTTCAATACTAATCTAAAATTCTGTTTTATATTTCTCGAGATATAAGAAGAAAATCTTTAAAAAGATATTTTTAAAATTATTAATTGTCTCGAGATAAGTATTTTTATATAATAGTTATATTCAGATTCGCCAAATATCAATTTTTAATAAAATCAAGAATATTTTGGGATCATCTTTCGATTAATTTATGCTGCAACGATTTGTTGAGTGAACCGATCTTACCTTCTATGGAAAGTTGATGCATAATTAATGAGAATAATGACGCCCCTGTGGCTTGGTCCAATGTGTATCCAATTCCAGTCTGCTGTTGACATCGAAGAGTGAAGGTTGTATCGTTCAATAATCGTCCAATAATGTTAATCAATTGGCTTTGCATGTCTCTTCTGATCCTAATAGTTCAGGATGTCACTGCAGATATCGATTATAAAGGTGAGAAGAAATAATTCTTGCAATTAATATCTTGAAATTCAACAATAAAAATTAATATAAAAATGAGCAATATTATTTATTATTAAACATTATTCTAAAATATTCTAAAATATTTTTATGGAATATATAAATATATAATCATTATAACTCACGAATAAAAGGATATTTTTTATTACAATAAGCAAATATATAACATTGTTATATTATAATTAAAAATTAGTATTACATATATTACAGAGAAATTAATGTCATTATTTAAGAAATTATACATAAATTTTTCTAACTAAAAATTATTTTCTTTTAGATGTATCCAAATTTGATATGATATACTACGATCCAAATACGCAGTTGGGATTGAAGGGCGAACTGGAAGGCGGTCGCAACCCTTTACCTAGAATTGCTTTTCACGGCATAGGATGCAATTGCGGAAATCTTACATGCGGCTGTTGTGGTGGTATCAATATAACCACCTTTAATTTTGATCGTCAAGCATGCACCAATTTCACTTATATTCCTCAAGATTTTGCCATCAAATTTAAATTTATAATAAACGAGAATGTACTTACCATAGGTACTATATCTGGTGAGTGATTGAATAATTATCATACATATTCTTTTTAGATTCTTAAAAAATCTATTAATGAAGAAAATTAGAATTACTTCAATTTTTTATTCTATAAAGTTAAAGGAATATCTGTTCGTCTTATGGAGAGAAAGGGAAGTAAAAAGTAAATTATAATTTTACATAAGTTTTGCACGAAATTTGATGACTAAACTTTTGAATAACTATGTTTAAGTGTATTTGTTTTAAAAATAATAATTTTTAAATATATTATAATCTTTGTATATTCATATACAATAATTTTATAATGTAACAAATTAAATTATATAATTGTATTTCTAGCTAAAAATCCGCCACCACTGTGCATGCCTATCTATGTTCCTTTTATATCCATCTGCGTGCGCTTCTTCGACATCCACACTTCCGGAAGAAACTTACACGCGTGTATCGATTTCGAGACGCGTGTGGTGAATTGGCCGATCCTAGTCTTGCACTTCGATTGTGTAAAGCTCGGCGAGGACGGGATCTCTTGGATAAAACCTGAAAATGCCAATAATGTTCTCCAAGTGGCAAAACCAGAAATAGCAGAATCGAACGGGCCGGAAGTGTTTGACGACGTGAACTTCGAATCAGATCCTACCGAGCTACCAAGCAATCAAACTTTGACGCTCGAAGGGGAAGATCACATTGGCCAATTAAAGTTATGATATTTGTGTACATAATTATATATATATTATTTATTATTATTCGTGCGCTCTATATAAATAAATTTATATTTATTACAATTAATATATAATTATTATTTGTTATAATAAAATATAATGAATGTTCAAATGCATATGTATATAAATTCATTATAAAGTAAATTTAAATGTACAATCACATTAAATTTGCCTTGATATTTTGTGAGACACTTATCGAATACATATAAATATTAATTATCATTTATCTTCTTATATAAAATATACTCTCATTTAATTATAGATAATTAATTATAGATAATTAATTATAGATTAATTTAATTCTAAAATTATAATTGAATTTATTTGTAATTTTAGGTAATTTTTTCTTATTTCTGTTATATTTAACATTCGAAGATATTTGCGACGTTTGACAATATTTTTTAAGAATCATTGCTTCGTTATAACAAGTTCTAGTTGATGACATAAAATGCAGAACAACTTGCTAAGCTAAATTTCACCGTAAAACGAGGTCAACAAACGAGCATTCACTAACCGGCCAGTCAAGTTTCGATCGTTCGGGAAGGAGCACATCTCGAGGAGATGTCTTCTTGCCTCGATTAAACATCGGGCAAGATCAAGGACACAGGATGAAGCAGACCACTTTCTGGCTGTTGATCGTGGTCCTTGCGACGCGATCGACTTCGGTATCGAGAATCGACGAGAATCTTACGACAAAGGGAGAAATTGTCAACAGCAAAATCGAGGAATTTTCGGTGGAGGAGTTGAAACAGCTAAAAACGCTGCTGAAACAGGCTACGAATTCATCGGGAAATGATACGGTTACTGCTACAAGACAAGGACCTTGTCAGTGTCTTGGTGGCGTTTGCGGATGTTGTTCGCGGATCTTGTATGACAGGTGGAAACAGAAGGCTTGTGCGAACATCACGTATGATCCCGATGAGTTTAGCTTCACCGTACACATTTTGATGAACGATAAAACCCTTTATACGAGGACTGTTTCTGGTGAGTAAGGCGTACAGTGGGTTTACGTTCGATTGATCAACAAAATTGTAGACGAAAGAAAAAGAGAAGACCTCTAGATAGAGATTCTATGTAATATTTTTTTCTATTTGATCCTATGTAATATTTTTTTCTATTTGATCCTATGTAATATTTTTTTCTATTTTTCTTTTGTTCTCAATTATATATTGTAAATTATATATTGTAAACAATTATATAATTGTAAAGAATATTATCTTCAGGGAAGAATCCTAGACCAGTATGTGTTCCTTTTCCAAGGCTACCATTCCTGAGAGCATGCGTGAGATTTTATAATATATATTTCCAAGGTAGAAATATTCATCTGTGTGTCAATATGGAGGGAAAATTCCAGGATACGACGGTGTTTAAGGTCAGATTTAAGAATTCGTTGTTGTAAAGAATATTATTGGATACGCGACATGTATTTCTATAGAAGTAATGCAAATGAGAAAACACATAAATTATAATTTGTATAATTTCATATTAAAAGTATGGGATGTATTAAATATAATAAATATTTAAGTTACACGATGTGTAAAATGTGTCTATTTGTACAGGTAAGTTTAGACTGCCTTAGATTCGGTTCAAACGGATTAGCCCTTTTAAAACCAGAAGATGGAGGTGGTTTGGGTCAATTAGAAGTTTTTCCGGATGACAGTAATGATGATGAAAACGATTACGATGATGAGAACGAGGAAGATGATGAAAATGATGATGATGGTGATGATGATGATGATGACGATGATGATTTATTCTAAGAATGCTGTTTGTAAAAATAGATAATATTAATATTATAAATTATGTATTATATATACATATTTATTTATTAATATTATAAATAACTGTACATACTTTATATGAAGAATAATTAAAATCTTAATATTTTATTATAAAACAAGAATATCGACTTGTTTTTTGTTAATGTATGTAGTAATGTTATTATATTTTATTTAATTTATACAAATCACATAATATTTCCTCTTTTCTTAAATAATTTTTTTAATATTGAAATAGTGAAATTGTGATTATATCTGTGCATATGATTATAAAACAATATTTTAGAAAAATATGTATAAGTATAATAAATATTGATTATTGTTTATATATATTATTTTTATATGTAAATTATTTATTAATAATAATTAATAAATAGATCAAAGAAATAAAAGTTTAACTATTTGTGTGTACATATAAGATATTAAAGAATATTTTATATGTCTGATGCGCTCAGTTAAAAATAAAATTCATACATTTTATAATTCGTTTTGTTTGCAATCACGTTATTTTTTAATTTCATTTAAATATTCACAATTATTATAAATGATTTAAAATCTAATGTATGAAAAATATCTTTCTTTTAGAATTATTTATTAAATCATTCGTTATGATTAATCATATTTTAAAATATATTTTTGTTATAATAACAGTATTCATTGCTCTTTAGTTTGAGTCATGAAAAATGAATATTGGTTGCATGAATGTAATAGTGAATTTCACTCCCATATATAATTCAGAGTTGACAAAAACATTCCGGATATTTTCCCATAATATAATAACTCATGATTGCATCCTGTACAATGCCTAGCAGAATGCCTAGCATAAAAGCAGAAAGTGTTTAGTGCGAAACGAAACGTCGCTGCACACACAACTGGATATTAAACTAATATAATTTCACGAGAAGAGAACATATATATTTTCTTATACCATCATAAACGTAATATGTAAATATGAATTCGCATACCATCAGTGCTCTTATTTTAATATGTTTATGTCTTGTTCGTGAACCTATTGCTACACATACAAGTTAGTGCTAACGACTACATTTCCATCACACTAATAAGTTTTAATCTTATTATGAATTTAATCATATAGAAAAAATTTTATATATAATAAATAATAAATAAATAAATATATATACATAATAAATTTTATAATTCTATAATTTTATATTTCATATATATATACATATAAAATCAGTTAAGGAAGTTTTATTTCTATCCAAATATAATATCGATAATCAGACAAACAGTGATAATTAAAAAAAATTTTAAGGATAATTAAAATATAAATTCATAAAAAAATGTTGTTCTATCAGACATTTATTATATGAATTGCCAATTGAAATAAGAAACGCTAATAAGTAAAACATTTTATCAGGCATTGTATCCGGAGGATTTCTGATTTATAGAACGATTTCAATTACTCAACAAGCTTGCAATTGCTCGATGTCTTTCTCCTGTTCTTGCTGTCAAAGTGTGATCATTCAATATACTAAAGAGAAAAAGGATCGTAAGTTTTTGGAATTCTACTTGATTGAAAATTTTTTTCGAGAAAAATTATTTATTTTTTTTATTTGTACATATTTGAATAACTCATTTTCTTGCCAAGTCTTAACATTTTCAAAATGAAAAATTATCAAGGAGAGAAAAAATATTTTTTTTATGAACGTACGTATTTGAAAATAATAAATTAAAAGCTGAATTATTACTTCTATCGCAGTATGTGTGAATTTCACATATCAGAGAAACGGATTGAACATCGATGTCACGCTGAGTTCGGACACAATCAGCACCAGAACAATCACGAGTAAGTTTTTTCCGTCAATCTCACTGTGCAATATTGGCGATAATTCTAAAAGTCTGTAAAGTTTCCGAGATAACATACAAATTTGCATATGAAAGAAGCGACAGAGATTTCATAAACGTCAAAATAGAGAAACAATCGTCACGTTTTTACAAGAGCAATTTTATTGTTTTGCAAATTTATTTTACAGACCTGAAAGCATTGAATTTTTGCGTGAACGTTCCCAATTGCATGTTCTCGACTGCATGTATCAACATCTTGGAGTTGAACCTACTTCCTACGTAAATATCTAAATAATTTTTACCAAGCTCGATTTTATATATCGGAATTTCTTATATTGATGGGAAAGAATTCAAAATCGAACAACAATTCTTAATTATAATTTTCAAAATTTTTATTGTTTTATCAAATTTGTCATGTAACTTATAAAGTTATAAATAGAGGCTATTTAGACACTTATTTCCAGCTTGTAATTTCTGTTTCTTTTTTTAATGCAGATCCATCACGGCTTGCCTTCGCCTAGACATTTATGCTACGAAACAACTTTGGCAGATCAATTATAATTGTATAAGTGTATCAATGCAGCTGCCGATGATGCCAATGAATAACACGACAAGAATGACAGCCATGGCGAACGGGGAAATGTCCACGATAGGAAATGGACAAATGGAACAATCGTAAATGACAGAATCAATGGCATTGAGAGGATGATGACTACGCAAGTGTTGGAAACAAACGGAATGACAGAACTGAGAGGAATAACTAAAAACTTGGAACTTATTTTGTAAGAAATGATTGATTAATGTAAAACGAATTATAAAAAAAATTAATTTACTAATTAAATGATCAATTGTATGTGGACTTGGAATGTTGCAAAAGAAAAATAACAGCAGAGATTAAAATTAAAGAAATAATATAGTAGAACTAAAAAGAACGAAGAACTAGGAGAAAATGAACGATAAATTTTATAAGAGTAAAAGAAATAATGAAAATAATATAATGAGAAATGATAATGATAAATTAAATGATTGCAGTTTCAATTGAATTATTACACTACTATTTAGTGATTTGATAATATTTATATAAATATTATATGTTTATATTATATCCATTATGACACAATGTGTATTAACATATAAAATAGATAGCTATCGATATAATCGATAGATATTTATCAATAATATAGATTATAAGAAATCTTTTTCTATCGTTATTATTATGGAGTTAAATATTCATTGGCTGTGTAAAATTTCAAAAAACGCTAAAAATTTTCTTCATTATCAATCACCAATTATTATCAATTATAGACAGTAAATTAAGAAATCGAAATTAGAAAAATAACGAGAGCTGTATTTCTATAAATTGCTAAGTGCAAACTTTCATTGAATATTCATATTCATAATTAACGGCGCTAATAAAATTATATTACACTTTATTATAGCAAACTCTATACAGATAGAAACAAATCACCGTTTCCTTTCAAACTTCCATTTATAAATAGGAGCATTATCCTTTGAACCAGGTTTTACTAATTTCGGCTTTTTGATCTTTTTATCCTTTAATGCCCTGCGCATTTCCAACTTTTGCTCCACGATTGTCAATTCGCGTTCTCTATGAATCCTCTTTTCGAGTTGTTTGTAAGCCATGTGCTTTTTCTGTTCAATCTTAGAAATAGTTTTGTCATCCAATTCTGGTAACTTCATATCTTTAATCGCACTTAGCTTTGGTCGATTGGTACGTCTAGACAGAAGTGCCGGATGGGTGTCTAGTTTCTTGGCAAGATCAAAATTCTTCATCTCTGTACTATCATCCACAAAGAAAGTGTGTTGATTCTGCATTTCGTTGGCCACGTCGATCATGTGCAATTGGCTCTGTAGCTTGTCTATCTTCTTTGCTTCAATATTTCTCTTATATGCTACATATCTGATATCCTGTGTTTCCATCAACTTTATCTGTTCAGATGTGTGGTGATCTTCCTTGTCTTTTTCTCTATGAACGCCATTTACTAATTGAGAGTTAATCATGTGAAAGTGAAATTCATCTGGATTTTTGTTCAATGCACGTTTCCGCAGAAGCTTGATCGTTGCCTGTTTCTCCTGAAAATCTCTGGCTCTGGAAATATAATCCTTTTTCTTTTCTAATAATCCGAGATGCTTGCGAGTCTCTGGCTGATGACGTTCTCGATGAGTCTTTTGACTCATCTTTCCAGCTTTTTTCCATGATGACATTTTAACGTTGTCTATTCCTGTAATGTGAGAAAATGTCCGGATTAATATTTTCAAAATTTATAATGTATACATGTAATGTATACATTTTACAACAAAATTAAAAGATATATAATGAAACACTAAAAAATATATTACTGAGACAAATTCTATTTTTATTTTTAAAATTATTGTGTTTACTTTAAGTCATGTAATTTTAAGAAATATTGAATAGAATTTGTAAGAATCAATATTGCAACAAAACTATAAATAATTTTAAATAATTACAGTCACTGTTATATATGGAGAAATAAGACATTAATAATTATTGCAAGTTCTAATGTGTTAATTTTGATGTATTGTTATATTTACAGTTATTTAATAACTATATAACTTATTAATTTAAATAAAGTGTCTACGACATTTTTCATTATAAAAGTTGAACTGTTACCTACACATTCTTAAAAAAATTTTCCTTGTAAATTGTCTGTATTTATTTTTTTCTTAGAATTATATTTTATAGTTTTATCATATTTTTTATTTTATAAAATGTAAAAATATATTCCAAAGTTATGTGATTCCAAAGTTGTCACTATTGAAATATAAATATTCGAGAGAATATTCTTCATACTAGTAAACTTTTAAGTTAAGAATTTAACAATTTTATATTTCTTTAAATCTCACAAGTGCATTGTTTGTAGTTTTATTGCAAAGAGCACGTGTCCATTTAATTAATAAAAATATATAATTATAAGTAAATTTGATAGTAGGCGAAATCAATAAAAAAATATTTGCTCTTATTGTAATAATTAAATAACTTACTTTTTTATATATTCACTGAAGAAATCACTATTGCTTCTTATCGATGTGAATAACAGATGATTGTTTCATAACCTCAAATTTAACAGCTGCACGTTGTACGCTTTACTATTGACGCATGCGTTGAATGGTAATCGTAGATAGTAATTCCAGTTGCACTTGTCATATGATGATAATAGCAGAGAGAAACCTGAGAGCGGCCACTTCGCTTTAACGGGTATATTGTCCTAATGCGCTCCCTGACAAAGTGGACGTCAACTACTTCTATTACAGTCGATAATAATACATGGTTCGTGTCTGAGCTATGGTTCATGTCCAAGCTATAGAGTGACCCCAAAAGTGATACTCCCTCTATGGACATTCAAAACATGGACATGAACTACAAAATCAGAGTCCATGAATGTTCTCAGAGGGTAATATATAATTGCACAATTTCTGGTTTTGTTCCGTGCTATATGCACGAAATGCCGGTAGCACCAGTGCTATATAACAATTAAATACTTATGTGTGTAAATTGATAATAAATAAATTATTCAATCGCGACAGATACTGTAATATTCAAAGATGAAATAAATATTTTTCAAAATAAATTGGTAAATAATACGGCTCTATGTATTTATCAACATGATAATTAAGTAAAGAGCATTAAGAGCCCACAAAACGTGGATGGCAATGCGTAAATTATTTCATTACTTAACATTAATTGTTCGCGAATTTTTTTTTTTTTTTTTTTTTTTAAATGCGTTATTAGGAGAACATGATTTGTAAAGAGATCATCAACGCATTATCGACCTCCTCGCAAAATATATTCTCCTGATAATATAAAATAATAAGAAACGAATTTTCGAAAATTTTCACGCTTGCGTTATTAGGAGAACATGATTTGTAAAGAGGTCATCAACGCATCTTCGACCTCCTCGCAAAATATATTCTCCTGATAATATAAAATAATAAGAAACGAATTTTCGAAAATTTTCACGTTTGCGTTATTAGGAGAACATGATTTGTAAAGAGGTCATCAACGCATCATCGACCTCCTCGCAAAATATATTCTCCTGATAATATAAAATAATAAGAAACGAATTTTCAAAATTTTCACGCTTGCGTTATTAGAAGAACATGATTTGTAAAGAGGTCATCAACGCATCATCGACCTCCTCGCAAAATATATTCTCCTGATAATATAAATTATAAGAAACGAATTTTCGAAAATTTTCACGCTTGCGTTATTAGGAGAACATGATTTGTAAAGAGGTCATCAACGCATCTTCGACCTCCTCGCAAAATATATTCTCCTGATAATATAAAATAATAAGAAACGAATTTTCGAAAATTTTCACGCTTGCGTTATTAGGAGAACATGATTTGTAAAGAGGTCATCAACGCATCATCGACCTCCTCGCAAAATATATTCTCCTGATAATATAAAATATAAGAAACGAATTTTCGAAAATTTTCACGCTTGCGTTATTAGGAGAACATGATTTGTAAAGAGGTCATCAACGCATCATCGACCTCCTCGCAAAATATATTCTCCTGATAATATAAATATAAGAAACGAATTTTCGAAAATTTTCCGCTTGCGTTATTAGGAGAACATGATTTGTAAAGAGGTCATCAACGCATCATCGACCTCCTCGCAAATATATTCTCCTGATAATATAAATATAAGAAACGAATTTTCGAAAATTTTCACGCTTGCGTTATTAGGAGAACATGATTTGTAAAGAGGTCATCAACGCATCATCGACCTCCTCGCAAAATATATTCTCCTGATAATATAAAATAATAAGAAACGAATTTTCGAAAATTTTCCGCTTGCGTTATTAGGAGAACATGATTTGTAAAGAGGTCATCAACGCATCATCGACCTCCTCGCAAATATATTCTCCTGATAATATAAATAATAAGAAACGAATTTTCGAAAATTTTCACGTTTGCGTTATTAGGAGAACATGATTTGTAAAGAGGTCATCAACGCATCATCGACCTCCTCGCAAAATATATTCTCCTGATAATATAAAATAATAAGAAACGAATTTTCGAAAATTTTCGCGCTTGCGTTATTAGGAGAACATGATTTGTAAAGAGGTCATCAACGCATCATCGACCTCCTCGCAAAATATATTCTCCTGATAATATAAAATAATAAGAAACGAATTTTCGAAAATTTTCACGCTTGCGTTATTAGAAGAACATGATTTGTAAAGAGGTCATCAACGCATCATCGACCTCCTCGCAAAATATATTCTCCTGATAATATAAAATAATAAGAAACGAATTTTCGAAAATTTTCACGCTTGCGTTATTAGAGAACATGATTTGTAAAGAGGTCATCAACGCATCATCGACCTCCTCGCAAAATATATTCTCCTGATAATATAAAATAATAAGAAACGAATTTTCGAAAATTTCACGCTTGCGTTATTAGGAGAACATGATTTGTAAAGAGTCATCAACGCATCATCGACCTCCTCGCAAAATATATTCTCCTGATAATATAAAATAATAAGAAACGAATTTTCGAAAATTTTCACGTTGCGTTATTAGGAGAACATGATTTGTAAAGAGTCATCAACGCATCATCGACCTCCTCGCAAAATATATTCTCCTGATAATATAAAATAATAAGAAACGAATTTTCGAAAATTTTCACGCTTGCGTTATTAGAGAACATGATTTGTAAAGAGGTCATCAACGCATCATCGACCTCCTCGCAAAATATATTCTCCTGATAATATAAAATAATAAGAAACGAATTTTCGAAAATTTTCACGTTGCGTTATTAGAGAACATGATTTGTAAAGAGGTCATCAACGCATCATCGACCTCTCGCAAAATATATTCTCCTGATAATATAAAATAATAAAAACGAATTTTCGAAAATTTTCACGTTTGCGTTATTAGAGAACATGATTTGTAAAGAGGTCATCAACGCATCATCGACCTCCTCGCAAAATATATTCTCCTGATAATATAAATATAAGAAACGAATTTTCGAAAATTTTCACGCTTGCGTTATTAGAGAACATGATTGTAAAGAGGTCATCAACGCATCATCGACCTCCTCGCAAAATATATTCTCCTGATAATATAAATAATAAGAAACGAATTTTCGAAAATTTTCACGTTTGCGTTATTAGGAGAACATGATTTGTAAAGAGGTCATCAACGCATCATCGACCTCCTCGCAAAATATATTCTCCTGATAATATAAAATAATAAGAAACGAATTTTCGAAAATTTTCACGCTTGCGTTATTAGGAGAACATGATTTGTAAAGAGGTCATCAACGCATCTTCGACCTCCTCGCAAAATATATTCTCCTGATAATATAAAATAATAAGAAACGAATTTTCGAAAATTTTCACGCTTGCGTTATTAGGAGAACATGATTTGTAAAGAGGTCATCAACGCATCATCGACCTCCTCGCAAAATATATTCTCTGATAATATAAAATAATAAGAAACGAATTTTCGAAAATTTTCACGCTTGCGTTATTAGGAGAACATGATTTGTAAAGAGGTCATCAACGCATCATCGACCTCCTCGCAAAATATATTCTCCTGATAATATAAAATATAAGAAACGAATTTTCGAAAATTTTCACGTTTGCGTTATTAGGAAGAACATGATTTGTAAAGAGGTCATCAACGCATCATCGACCTCCTCGCAAAATATATTCTCCTGATAATATAAAATATAAGAAACGAATTTTCGAAAATTTTCACGTTTGCGTTATTAGGAGAACATGATTTGTAAAGAGGTCATCAACGCATCATCGACCTCCTCGCAAAATATATTCTCCTGATAATATAAAATAATAAGAAACGAATTTTCGAAAATTTTCACGCTTGCGTTATTAGGAGAACATGATTTGTAAAGAGGTCATCAACGCATCATCGACCTCCTCGCAAAATATATTCCTGATAATATAAAATAATAAGAAACGAATTTTCGAAAATTTTTCACGCTTGCGTTATTAGGAGAAACATGATTTGTAAAGAGTCATCAACGCATCATCGACCTCCTCGCAAAAATATATTCTCCTGATAATATTAAAATAATAAGAAACGAATTTTCGAAAATTTTTCACGCTTGCGTTATTAGGAGAACATGATTTGTAAAGAGGTCATCAACGCATCATCGACCTCCTCGCAAAATACATTCTCCTGATAATATAAAATAATAAGAAACGAATTTTCGAAAATTTTTACGCTTGCGTTATTAGGAGAACATGATTTGTAAAGAGGTCATCAACGCATCATCGACCTCCTCGCAAAATATTTCCTGATAATATAAATAATAAGAAACGAATTTTCGAAAATTTTCACGCTTGCGTTATTAGGAGAACATGATTTGTAAAGAGGTCATCAACGCATCATCGACCTCCTCGCAAAATATATTCTCCTGATAACATAAAATAATAAGAAACGAATTTTTCGAAAATTTTCACGCTTGCGTTATTAGGAGAACATGATTTGTAAAGAGTCATCAACGCATCATCGACCTCCTCGCAAAATATATTCTCCTGATAATATAAATAATAAGAAACGAATTTTCGAAAATTTTCCGCTTGCGTTATTAGGAGACATGATTTGTAAAGAGTCATCAACGCATCATCGACCTCCTCGCAAAATATATTCTCCTTGATAATATAAATTATAAGAAACGAATTTCGAAAATTTTCACGTTTGCGTTATTAGGAGAACATGATTTGTAAAGAGGTCATCAACGCATCATCGACCTCTCGCACAATATATTCTCCTGATCATATAAATATAAGAAACGAATTTTCGAAAATTTTCGCGTTGCGTTATTAGGAGATCATGATTTGTAAAGAGGTCATCAACGCATCATCGACCTCCTCGCAACAATATATTCTCCTGATAATATAAAATAATAAGAAACGAATTTTCGAAAATTTTCGCGTTGCGTTATTAGGAGAACATGATTTGTAAAGAGGTCATCAACGCATCATCGACCTCCTCGCAAAATATTCTCCTGATAATATAAATATAAGAAACGAATTTTCGAAAATTTTCCGCTTGCGTTATTAGGAGAACATGATTTGTAAAGAGGTCATCAACGCATCATCGACCTGCTCGCAAAATAATTCTCCTGATAATATAAAATAATAAGAAACGAATTTTCGAAAATTTTCACGCTT